GTTCTATCGGAAAACCGGGCCAGTAATACAGAAGACCCTTATTTTCTGCAATCTGCACTGTGGTCAAAACCCAAAAACTGTAAATGAACAGAATTTCGCCGAATATCCCACTGATGCATTGGCAGCACTGCAGTCGACCGTACAAGCAAACATACAAACAAACACACATACAAACCGTGTGCAAGCTTTGAGGTTTTAAACACGCCGCTTACCTTTATATGTATCCCGTTGACTTTCCATTTCGGCAAAACTTTGTAAAATGATGAGAGATCATCTCGATGTTTGAATATGCTTCCCGTACTTCGAACCTGAAGCAAACAGCGACAAGTTATAGCGATATACAGTCTTGACAATATTTAACAAAATAAAGTTTAAATATGATTACTAGCTGACTTTAAATCTTTCAAATTGTTAAATGTGCTTCAGAGAAACCAAATTGACAAGCTGCACTACACTCGTACAGTAACATATTTTTTGGAGGGGTCATCCGTAATCATGGATATTTTCAAGCGCTTCTTGTCACAATCTTCCTAACGCAGTAATTTCAGGTTGGCTACGAGGAAAACAACATAAAACGGTTTATTGATACACAAAAATAAGGCCCTTCGAATGATTGATTATTACTGATGTTTCAACCTCCTTCAAGACAGAGAGGGACGAGTTTGGAAATTTTGTTTCGCAGCTTTATAACATTTAAAACTAGAAGGCGAACTTTAGGTTCGTGTTGTAGGTGAAGTAGCTTTTCGACCAGAGGTGCAACAAAGCCTATCCAATTCGCTCAGACTGGCTGGGATATTTTCAACTGACAAACCTAACGAATAAAATGCTCATAATATAAATTTATTGTACTGAAGATAGAAAAATTTCTCTTTCACTAGTATTTTTCTGGGCTAAAATGTATGCACTGGTCACTGAGCCTTCAAAGTCGAAGTTACACGTTAGCAGCTCAAGAATCAGAGACTGGCTGCTTTTCTGAGCGGATGACGTAATAATGCTGACCTTATGCCTCTATGCTCATATGACCCTCCCACAAAGTTGATCGAAGTCTCGTTGTAACCGATATGTAGCAGCACTTTTACTGATCATGCATGTTAACTAGTAAAGTAAGATACAATTCTGTGGGCATTCATCGGATCTTGTAAGAGCAGTTGTTTCTATCATCTCATTGAAGCGAGGCCGCGGTGCGTCTTGGGGGAGAGGAGGGGGTAATACTTCCAATTTTTATCCTAAATGCCGCGCCGACAAAAATGGAAGAACTCAGTACAATCCTACCGCTTAAAAGCTGATCACAATTACCAAACTGCTCCATTTATGTTGAGATATTTAAAATGAAGAACTTCTCTTCAAGCACTGATACCGATTTCCAGTCGTTTCCCTGTTTTATATGGAATTCTCATCACTTTTCTTCTAAGGATCTAGCTAAAGAGCCATTTTTTGTACAACTTAAAACGTTGCATCACTTTCCTGAGTGAAATCCTTATTCACCCTCACTAAATATAACAACTCTCACCACAGTCAACGGCAAAAGATAATTTGTCGGTTTTTTGAGTACAAAGATCCGTCTTCATTTCCAGTCTCATGCTACGGACATGGTGCCCCATGAAAATGTTAAAAGGTCCTTACATTCCTCCTAATGACTACGTTTAACATGATTTACAAAACGCAATGAACAGATTTAATATCTACTTTCATGTTAGAAGAGTGAGAAATACAACTATCCTTTAACCGCATTACTTTAGAGTACAATGATCGTTAAGAATCTAAAGGCGATACAAAATCGAATGTCATAAACGCAAGTTAACGAATCAGATTTATTCTGCCACTAGCATTTAGTACCTGCAGATCAGAAAAGAAGTCGCTTCCAATACTTCGCCTGGGTACGGCACCAAGACTATGTGCCATAGGCTGCACAGGGGTAACCGATCCGGAGCTGGCGGTGCCAGAAACAACGCTGATTGTTCGTGAACGACCTCTGATCAAAATGTTGCCCGTCGAAGAACCACATCCACTGCCGGACGAGAGCTTGCTCCCACTCCTGCGGCGAACACGTCTTTTTTTCGAATCGTCTTCGCCCTAAGTTTAACAATCATTAGTCAAAACGGTATGAGCCTCCAACAAAACGCACAAAGATTGCTCAAACGATATCAAGCCTTAGGATAATTAAGCAACGATAACTTATTTATTTGAGTGCATCTACTGTGGTTTAACCAGCGGAACTGTCCTTCACTTACTTGTGCACCTACTACATAGACTTACAAGATTTCAAAGTATTATACGGGAATATTTCTGGAACAAATAGTCGAGAATGAGAAAAATTCCTTAATTGAAAGTCAATCAGTATGAACGCACTCAAGATCAAAGTTGGTGAGATTTTTGTATTCAGTACAAATATACTTCGTATTAATACACAACAGCCTCAACAGTGGAAGGTTCGCATGTCTTGAACCATAAAGTAGTCAGACGGATAACTTGACGATACCAGCGATTTAGCCGGTATCTCGAGGACCTTAATCATGGTAAGTCTAGGGGTGAAATTTCGTTATTATTTGATCGCTTGCAACAGTTGGTTCCATTGGAGCAGCGTACTTTCAGCCCCTCCTATCGGCTAATTAGCTTAAGTAGTAAGAAAACTAGCTAAGAAAACGCGTCAAGGAGGTATTAGCAACTCAGTTATGAAACAATGTAAAGCGTCACAAAAGTTCCGAACGTCGTCCGGATTGCAAAGGCCCAGTTGCGCCTGTGCCGGAAAAGCTATTCTTTTGTAAATCTTTATTTACAGCTAGTACTGATATTCAGTCCGCAATCAAGCGGATAAAGACAAACTGCAGCCGAAAGTCGTATGCATCAGACAACATAGCCGTATTCTTCACACGCTTCGGCATGACTACACCAAAACACCGAGCCGATCCCATCATTCAAAGGCAAACGAACTGCTATTCGTCTTTAGGCTGGTTGTGCTAAAGCAAAGAAGGGTTAATTCTCTGCTTAAGAGAATTAGTAGTAAATAAGAGAAAATTAACGCCGCAATTTGGGTTTGAACTTGCACTTTTAAGTGCAAAACAATCTACTAACATACTGCGCCAATGCCCCCCCCCCAATGCACCAACTAACTGGCAACACAGACCGTAATTTCGACTTAACACCCCTATCACTTGCGGCAGATGATAAAAAAACCCGGAAGAATGTTTGAGAAAAGAGCCAAAACATCGGTTGCGGTCAACCATTAGACTGATCATCTTCCTGTGTTGAATAAAGCCCCCTAACCGCGCAATTTTTTAGTACGACTACAACGCCTACCTATTCTATGGGTACCATCTTTTATTATCTATAAGTGATTCTTTCCTTAGACAGATGGTTGTTTTTCATAATGTAACCGTGGGGTTGGATTTATGAAATAAATTCACTCAGCTTAAAAGTTCACCACTCGAAGTTTCTATATTAGAAACTTAACAGATCAAAAATTCAGATGTGCAGCTACAGTAAAACTTCGTTAACCTGGAATTCAAGGAACAGAGAAAATGCTGAATTACATAAATCTGATATTTAAGAAAAGACAGATGTGTTTGTCAAGTCAAAATACAAAGACACTTGCATTACCTTAACGTATGATACTGAATTCTATTCCAATTGATTTAATTTCAATGCTGAACACAAAATTAACAACGAAACGTTAACACAAAATATTTTCATAGACGCTCGTACGGCAGCTCAGTAATGTGCCCAGAATACAACGAAACTCAGGCCCTTGACAATTTCCATTATGTAAGATGTAAGCTAGCTCTGCCGGCGGATGCTATTGTCATCTACTGCCGCAAAACTTTCTGCTGCTGCATAAACCAAGAATCTTCTATCTAGCGAACACTAGATGGTAGACGGAAAAACGGAATACACAAAGTTACAAATACACAAAGTGCGTTTTCCCCATTATCTTATTTAGAATTATTCGGAACTAAATGTGGTGGGATAGTATGCAAATGGTTAAACTTCTGCGAATTATTCAAGCACTTTAAAGAACATTTATTCGTTGTATGTTAACTTTAGAAGAAAACTGACATTAACGAGTTTCAGATGAACCAATTTTCACCACACTGAAAAGCAAAAAATGAAAGGACTTCAGCATTTTCCACATTTCTTGGTTGCCCGTAACCACAATTTTATGTAAATGAACTACTCATTATTTTTAAACACACCTTGCTCATCTGATTCGAGTCCTTTCTGAGGCACCCTTGACCGCATTTGCCTAGAAAAGCGAACAGAATCAAAATAAACAAAAGAAAACTAGCTTTTGCAGCCAAACTTACAAATACAGGTTTTCATAGCAATATCGAACGATTTCTTGTTCCACGGATTTGATGTATTGTGTTTATCAGACCAACTTCTTGCACGAGCACTGTTTCGCATCTGAGCCAAAAGTGAGTTTTCCCAGTTTTCGAAGCACAGCTTATGAAACAGCTTCTTCGCTGAGCATTCCGGATTGCTACACTGCATTCGAACCACTTCATCACTGCTACCGCATTGTTCCAAATTGATACTGTCACCTGAAAAAAACTGAATGGCTTGCAATGCTGTAAAATTAAAATCAACAGTGCATAACAATATGCAAAACATAAAAAGAAAAACCTTTTCACTATTATGATCGATCAGTTTAAAGAGACGTTTCGCACAAACATATAAGCAGAAGTGCTGGACTGAAACATGTGCAGAGAAAACTGTCAACCAAAATTTCTTATGCGATGTACAGGATATAAACTAGAGCACATGTAGAATACCGAAATAAGTCTACACACAATTTGGACTTTCGTCTTTCCGCGTTCTCAGTAACGAGATTGAGTCTGCAAGTATAGAATATAAAGCGATGATTGTGGTAGGACGTACTTCACCATGGGAGTTCAATACACTAAATTATTAGCATATTTGCAAGGACAGAGCTGTTACGCAAAACTTATAAATTAAGCCTTAAATAAATTATATGAGACCTTATCAAATCTTTAGCGCGCGTTCACAGGAATCGATAGCAATACTACTCAACATTTTATGGTTATGTTAAGTTTATCTGCTTTCCTACTGACGTTCTTTAATTGTTGTGTTCTTGTCCTATCTTCATGTGTTTCAGTCGTCGGCATTGTGAACGTACTTTTCCCTTTTGCTTAATACTGATTAACTAATGCTAAAGAAGGAACACCGTTGTGGGTTGCGAAAGTTTCACTAACTGAATATTTTTTCAGGTCCTTCTTATAAAGGCTGCGAGCAAAAGCAACAGAGATTCGAAGGCAACACACCAACGACGTAAATAGTAAGCATCTGTAGCTAAAACTGGAATTACTCCATCGGTTTTCTATCACAATTTATAAAACCTGAATACTTTAGACATAATATAGCCTTTTACTGCCTAAATATATTCATATCGGAATCAAAGAATAAACAAATGCAGTGAAATTAAGCACGGTTTACTTATCACTAACATTTACCTGAAAAATATTTCTTAAAAATACAAGGAAACACGATAGTGGGCATGCAGTTATATTAATGTTTCTTTAAAACATGATGTTAAATTTAACCAAATCGCAGTTTTTGCGACTAAACTCCTACCTAAAAAGGAAAAACATTTTTATCCGCTGTCAAAATGGAAAAACGAAAAGGGTATTAAACTAAGAGTAAAACCGACGATTATGTTAAACCAGAATAAA